CCTCACGGGTTAGGATGCAAGTCGTGGGAGGACCTCCCACGACTTGCATCGATCGTGCAAGTCGTTTTCAGTTTAGTCTCCCACTGGGAGGTTACACTTGTAACGACTTTCGAGATCGGTGGCGTGGTCTTCGAGAGTTTCCCACCACGCAGCCGCCGACCTGGCGATGCGTCGTCCTGCGCACTCTGGCGGGTGGCCGTCGCACGAGCTGCCGCGTGCACATGTCTTGCCCGCGCGCCGCGCCTGCCTCTCCGGCTGCGGCGACGGCCTCGACGAGATCAGCCACTACCTCCAATGCCGTCGCGCCCATCACTGGGTCACCGAGTCGCTCAAGTTTGCGCGCCGAGAGGTTCTACGACAAACCCGACGCATTCCATGCACCATTACCTACCACATGACCGCCCTGAACGGGCTGGCCGAGCCAGACGAATCGCATGATGGCACTGGTGCTCACCTTCCTCGTTGTTTCTCCTTCATGATCTCTCTCCTCCGCCGTCTCGTTCTCCTCCCTGATGCATCCTCCTCGTCCTCCTTCACGTCCTTCTCCTCCTCTTCATTGCTGCTCTCTCCTCTTTTCCTCCTGTCCCACGTGCTCCTTCCCCTAATTCCTTCTCGCCCTCCTCCTTCCTCCGCCTTGTCCTCCTCGCGTTCCATGTCGTCCTTCTCTTGCTCCCTTCTCCCTTTTCCCACGATGCTCCTCCTTTGTCCTCCTCCTGGCACTCCTTTGAACTCCTCCATTCGTTTTCCTTATAGGCAACTCCTCCCTGTCGCACCCCGGGGCTAGTCAAAAGGGCGGGCCCTCCGTTTCGAATGAGATTTCCTCACCATTTATGAGCCTCAAGCTTACACGTTGACAACAGTTTCGCACATGGAGGGCGGGTGGTTTTCAACATGTGGCTCTCGCCTTAGCACATTCTTTGCGCCGCGCACATCGGTCTTAAACTGTGCAAGAGATTCTCGGATAGAGGGCGGGTCGTTTTCAACATGTAGCTCTCGTCTTAGCGACGCGTGCATTCTTTTGTGTAAAAAAACGTTGCAAGAGTTTCGCGTACTGTGGGCGGCCCGTTTTCAAAATGTGGCTCTCGCCTCAGCGCCGCGCGCATTCGTTCTGAAAGCTCGCAAGAGTTTCACGGATTGAGGGCTGGCCGTTTTCAAAGTTCAAAGTGTGGCTCTCGCCTTCGCGCCGCGCACACTCGTTAAACAAGTTGCAAGAGTTTCATGGGTTGAGTGTGGGTGGTTTTCAACATGTGGTTCTCGCCTTAGCGCCGCGCACACGCGCACACACTCGCTTTAAATATTTGCAAGAGTTTCACGGATTGAGGGCGGGCCGTTTTCAAAATGTGTCTCTCCTCTTAGCGCCACGCGATTTCGTTTCAAGGACTTGCGAGAGCTTCGCGGATTGAGGGCGGGTGGTTTTCAACAAGTGGGTCTCGCCTTCGCGCCTCGCACATTCGTTTTAAACATTTGCAAGAGTTCCGTATATTCTCATGGCTAGCGTACCAGAAACGGTGTTTTGGAACGACCCCGGATCGCCATGCCGCATCAATTACGTCGATTCGCGGTGTTCAAGTGCCAGGCGTGGTGTTCTGGAATGATTCTGGATCGCCAGGACGTAGAAGTCAGGTTGTTTTGTGGCGTTGAAGTCCTGAGAGTATGGTTTGGCACGTTTCAAGATGTCCACACGGTTGTCCCCCCACGGGGCATTTCACTCAGTGGAAATGATGTGTTGCCCAGAGGGAGGGAGGGTGTATTTCAACATGGTTGATGAGTCTTGGGTTTGCATTAGTCCTCCTCCTCCCCCCCTCCTCCTCCTCCTCCTCCTCCTCCTCCTCCTCCTTCTCGTCCTGTGGCCACAGCAGCCTGCCAACACTCGCGACGTGAGCGGCGAAACCGCGACCACACATCCGTCCTTGTCGTCGTCGTCCTCCTCCTCCTTCTCCTTCTCCTTCTCCTCCTCCTCCTCCTCCTCCTCCTCATACTCCTCATCCCCATCCTAATCCTCCTCCTCCTCCTCATCCTCATCCTCTCCCTCTTCCTCTTCCTCTTCCTCGTCCTCCTCCTCCTCCTCCTTCTCATCCTCCTCCTCCTCTTCCTCATCCTCCCTCCGTCCCTCCCTCCCAAATTGCGCCCTCCCTCCCTCCCTTCTCCTCCTTCTCCTCCTCCTCCTCCTCCTCCTCCCTCCTCCCCCTCCTCCTCCTCTCCTTCCTCCTCCTCCTCCTCCTCCTCCTCCTCCTCATGCTCGTCTTCCTCCTCCTCCTCCTCCTCCTCTCCCCTTCCTCCTTCTGCTCCACGTCCTCCTCCTCCTCCTCCCTCTCCTCCTCCTCCTCCTCCTCCTCCTCCTCCTCCCTCTTCGTCGTCGTCGTCGTCCTCCTCCTCCTCCTCCTCTTCGCCCTCCTCCTCCTCCTCCTTCTCATCCTTCTTCTCCTCTTCCCTCCACCTCCTCATCCTCCTCCTCCTCCTCTTCCTCATCTGCCTCCTTCTCCTCTTCCCTCCTCTCCTC